ACCCTTTAGGCCCACAAAAGCCTTTCCCCACTATTCCCTTCAGTACTGATTATTCTAGCACCCTACCTACCCCTTCTATATACCTTAAATCTTTCATTTTCTTTTGTAAAGAGACACTGACCCTTTACAAATTGCCTTTGCATTCCATTTTAGTAACTGATTGCTAATGGGTTTTTTCCTGTCATTTCAGACAGACCCGTTTTAGTAACTGTCTGCTAGTGGGATTTATTTACCTGTTCATACAAACCCACTTGTTTTTGGTCAGCAAAGCGTGGTTGAGCTGCTTTTGAGGGAAACTGCTTTTTTTCCATTTTCAGCCCTTTGTTGTACTTCTAAATCACTGTGGTATGCTGTTTAAAATGTCCACAGTGCTTCCTACAACGCTGCTTCCCCCCCTTTTCACTGCACTTAAAAAAAAAGTTCTAAGGCAAGTGCTATAGCACTAAACCCTATAGCACTGAAGTGCTATAGTGGCACCAACCAAGATGCATTAATTCCTGAGTCAGTGTGTCTCAATGGTGCCACTGTAGCACTTCAGTGATATAGCAGTTTAGCACCATAGTGCTCACCTTAGAACTTTTTTTTTAAGTCCGAGGAAGGTTGTGTTGTGGAAAAGGGCAGGGGGGAAAGCGCTTCTTGGAATGACCATAGCACTTCAGAGACAGCTGATTAATGGAAGGAAATTTGCTGTATGAAACCCCCTCCCTATATCACTTTACTTGAAATTGGGCCAGCAACGAATAACATCCAGTTAAGAATGGCAATGTAAAAAGGGCCATACTGAGCCATATTTGGTTCTATACACATAGTTTGTAGGCCCCATTCCATAAAGTAGTGCTGGAAAGATGGTTGACTGTGAGCCCAGCAATACATTATGTTCAAATCACCAACGACAACAACAACACCGCCACCACCATCACCAACACCATTTCTGAAAGCCTCTGGCTTTGTTGATTGACTAATGTAGTTTAGTCTTGGGGATTAATGGATTTTCAGAACTATTAAATTGAAATAAAGGGCTGTATTACTGGACATGGTTGTTCTCTGTCATAAGAGGATGGCTTTGTTTATTCATCTGGTGGCACCAACATGTCTCCTTTTGCTTTATCACTAAATTTTGTCCAGTTGTATTTATATTTCTGATTTTCTGTTAGCATGTGTTTGTATCTTAATGTTTAATGGACTTGTAATAAGGAGTTACTCAACCTAGATCCATGTTCATTTTCTATAGGAGAACTTTGTGGGGAAAATACAGTCATAGGTCAACAAACTTTGAAATGAGAGTCTCATCATTCAATCTACCCACATTCAAAATTGTACCACAAACTTTCCTTCTTTTTATTTATTATATTCCATCCTGTCTCAAGTTAGGTCCAGCATCCTTCTTGTCTTTGGTTTTTCTCTGCCCCATTCCCTGCTTGTGGCAGCCCTCTTTACCAGTTCACCCCTTCCTAAGCAACTTTATCTAATCTTTAGAAAGTTGAAGTAGATAATTTGGGCAGAGAGAGCTTCTTTGGAAAGTTGAAGTAGTTAATTTGGGCAGAGAGGGCTTCTCTTTAAATGACAATGTGCATGCCACTGATTATGATTGCCACTGATTATGAGATTTGCAGTTGTCTCTGCCCCACCCCCTTATGTTCAGGAAGTCTGCCTCATACATGTTGATGATACTGGCCAAAGATTCTGACTTTGAATCCTTAGAAAACGTCTACTATACCATATGAATCCTTAGTAAACATCTTCCATATTTTAATGGATTCATAGAAATTAGGGTTACCAACACTGGGTTGGGAATTTCCTGGAGATTTGGGGGTTGACCCTGTGAAGAACCATATTTGGGGAGGGGAGGGATCTCAGTGGGCTATAATGCCAATGTCCACCCTCCAAAGCAACCATTTTTCCAGGGGAACACAGGGGGATTATATTACAAACATATTAACATTCATTGTGAACAAATATGGCAAAAAGTTACATTCATGAAAAATACTCATTTTATTAAACATGCTTCCTTGGCAGGAAGGGGGAAACAAAAACTTTTGTGGACATATGATTTTGCCTTTAGTTCTCACTGGCATCTCACCATTGTGCTTCAGTATTACATTGCCAAAACGATTATTACTTCACATGGTTGGGCTCCACAGTGTACAAGTAATGTGTGAAATAAAGAGACTATGTGGCATGGGCAGATGACCATAGATACTACCCACCCTATGGTTGCCAACTCCAAGTTATGGTGGAGCTCAGGGAGGCCAAGATTTGGGGAAGGAAGTGATGTTGGCAGGGTATAATGCCATACAGTCCAACCTCCAAGGCAGCCATTTTCTTTATAATCTGGAGATTAGTTGTAGTCCTGGGAGATCTCCAGGCCCCACCTAAATGTTTGCAACCTGAACCTTACTGCTACCACATCTCAGGGGAAGGGAGGGCAACCACACATAAAAAAGTAAGATTTTCATCCAAGACAAGCAAGTTTGCCCAGCTGAGTATTTTCGTGAATCAAAATGGACCCTTTAGATACCAATAGAACTTCTGCATTTGGCTAACACATCTCCCAGGGCCTCTTTCATCTGCTTGTTCCGCAGGCTGTAGATAACAGGGTTGAGGAAGGCAGGAGCCACTGTATAGGTGAGAGAGAGGAGCTTGTCTACAGTAGGTGAGTAACTTGAACTGGGCCTCAGGTATGTGAACATAGCAGTGCTATAGAAGAGGATCACAGAGACCAGGTGGGAGGAACATGTGCCCAGAGCCTTCTTTCTCCCATCCATTGTGGTAGCCTTCCAGAAAGCAACAATGATTAGAACATAGGAAACTAAGATGAGTAAGAAAGGGGTGACAAGAACCAGGAATATAGTTAGAATTCTTTCTATATCATTTATGTAGGGGCTTGTACAGTGCAACCTCAACAGTGGGAGGACGTCACAGAAAAAATGATTAATTATCTCAGAACTGCAAAAGGGGAGGGTAAATATCAGCAATGTCTGCCCAAGAGATACAAACAACCCAACAGCCCAACATCCAGAGACCAACAATAAACAGGCCTTCCTGGTCATGAGCCTCATATATTGCAAAGGATGACAGATGGCCAGATAACGGTCATAAGACATAATTGCCAGAAGGTAACATACAGCTGCTCCCAGGAGAAGGTAGAAGAACATCTGCAAAGCACAGCCTACAAAGGAAATGGTTTTCTTCTCTGAAATAAGGTTCACAAGCATTTGAGGGATAGTTACTGATGTAAAGCAGATATCTAAGAATGATAAATTCTGAAGGAAGAAATACATGGGTGTGTGCAGAGTGTGATGTAACCCAGTGGCAACACAGACAAGCACATTCCCAACCAGGATAAAAAGGTAGATAAGCAAGAAAACAGTAAAAAGCAGGGCTTGTAATTCAGACTGGTTAGAGATTCCAAGGAGCACAAATTCAGTCATGGTGGTACTGTTCTCATGCATCATTTCTTCTGTACATTTCCCCTAGATGAGAGAGATGAAACTGTCATGTGTAGCTGTTATGATGGGGAACATGATAACAAAAATACTGAAACCCAATCTTAATCCAAGATCTGTTTAGATTCCTTCATTATTATAAAGCAAGTCTGATCATTTTGAAACAGCATACAAAGCAGAGGTTCTTCCACTGAGTCATACTTCCTAGAAGTCTGAATATATTTTAAGTAGTATTTATTTTAAAACATTCATTAGCTTCTTTTGTGGTACATGAAGCTTTCTTATACTGAGTCAGACCATTGATCTTAGATCCATGTTATCTATTCTGCTTTTGTGCAAGAAAGTTATGTCCGAGAAAATTTAGTGACCTCAGCTCTAAATATTTGGCCTCAGGTACAGAGCTACAATGTTGACGAAGCATTCAGCAATTATAGTATGATCTTACCTTTGCAATAGTCGGCATTTGGTGATGCACTCTGGTTCATTCACTGACCTTCACACTCCGGTCTAAGAATGTGCTTGTGCATGACTGATAAAGTGCTGACCAAAGCATAGAATGCATGCAGATTCTTCATTAATATCTGAAGATGTTCTAAATATTCAATATTTATGGATTTGCAAATCTGGATGAAGTTTACTGTTACTTGAATGAACTATAGTACACTGACAGATTAAAAAGTGGCAGTCAGCGGCTTTAAGATTCATTCTCCCCAGACAGTATGTACGCTCTCTTTTTTTTCCTATCCAGCTATTTCACCATCCTCATAAGTCATTTTCCTAAACATATATAAATAAGACATAATAATGATATGTTCAGCCAAGTGCATAGACTTCAAGTTGGTCTAGAACAAGAAAAGTAAGTTGAACTGTAGAACAAAATAGAACACTAATAAAAGGATTCCTCTACTGCCATCCGTTGTTAGTTTCTGGCAGTCTCAGATCTAAGAACATTTACGTATACATAGAGATACATGAAAAATACAATTTGCTGGCTGCACCATAGGGTGTATTACTCTTCTGTGTTTAAATAAATGGCCTTATGGTTATATAACTGAGTTTTGGCCCAATGCTTCCAGGAAAAGGTAGTTCTTTATTGCTGATCTCACTGTGACAGTGTCAGTCATAACAGTGCTATAAACCAAAATAGTTACATCCTTTTCAATCTACTGAAGTCAATGGGTTTAGAAAGATGTAACTCTGCTTAGGGTTTCAGTGTCAATCTCTCTCATTAAAATCAATGGAACTGGGATTAAAAACATTGACTCTCATCCTTCAATATTTTGTAATCCAAAATTTGTTAATTTTAATACTTTTATAGAGCAAAATGTACATTGCTGTAATTTTAATGGAATATTTAATAGAATATGTATCTATCCCTCTATGACTCTTGTTAAAGTGAAGCAAAATTAAACCAGAATATCTGCCTTCATATGTCATGTAAAACCAGATTAACCATGGTTAACATGCAGACTTCAGATCGTGATTTTAGATCCTGGCTCGGCAGACCTTAAATAAATACAATTAGCAGAGTGGCCTGCATTTATAACTGTACTCAGTTTAATCAAAACCTTGTTTCACCTGAACTAAGCCATTACAAACTCAAAAGAAAGATAAAATGACTGCTGTCTCTCCTTTTGTTATATATATTTTGTTATATTAATGTTGATCAGCAACATCATGCCAGCTCTCACAATGTTTTGAATTGCCAAAATATTATGTTGACCAGAAATCTTGGCTTGGATCCAGATTTTCACCTAGTGAAATAGTGAAATAGAGAGGAAGGGGTGCCTTTAGACCACTGAAGAGCTGTTGGACCTTCACAGTCAAGTCACATGAGATAAAGACTATAAGGGAATTTGGGGAAGACAGAGCAAAAAAGCTGGCTGGATCTAGCCCATCAATTTTGAGCTACTTTTATTTATTACATTTCTTCCATGGAACTCCAAGGGTATATACAAGTGATCTCCCACCAGGCACTGACCTAACCAGCCCTACTTTGCTTTAGCATTGTAAAATATACCTTCTGTCCATTTTGTTGGAAGAGTTAACACATGGCAACACTTATGATAATACATGTCACAACATAATAGACTACAGCTGAAGGAATAAGAATTCCACTTACTTTCGCAATGTTGATTGTGTTGTGAAAGTGATGCAAAGGGTTTGGAAGTTCATGCATATATACCCACCAATCTGGACAACTGTTTTAAGTAGAACAATAATGATTTGATTTCCATAAACCAAGTCCAGATGTTTTGACTACATTCAGCTATAAGAAAAGAAAGCACTAGCGTGCTCATTTGAATGGCAAATTATCTCCATACATTCCAGTTAATTCCCTTATGTGGCTTGAGAGAGGTGATCCCTGGGAAGAAAGCTAATTTTTTTCCCAATGAAGTTCATAAATATCATGACTGCACAGATACTTTCATCCTGATGTGATTTAATTGAATGAAATAAATCAGAAAGGACATACAATGCTGTACAAAAGGCACTTGGCTTAATATCTTTGGCAAACAAGTAGTCTTCAGCACAATTAATACTTTCTGCATGAAGAACTCCTTGCCCCTAAGATTCTGTATCCATGTACCCCAAACCGTGGATTGGAACCTACAAAGTTTTCTACTCTACCTCAAGGTTTTCTACTCAACCATCTTAGCTGCAGACCCTAGTCTTGCATGGTTTTTGTCCACATAAATTCTGTAATTTCAAGCACAGCTGTTTTGAGGGTCAAAGGATCCAAACCTATATTACTAATCAACGGGACACATTGTAGTTGATTTGCAAAGAATTTATTTTATTTTATTTTTGAGAAATACTGGCCTACCCCTGAGTGATCAATCTACTTCTAAGTTTTAATTGAAGGGAAATGGACATTTAACAATGTCCTATTACAATCAATATATACTCCTTAAATAGGAATGGACAAATTGAATTATTTGTCTCAATAATTCAAGGGGGGGGAATACAGTTGTGTAGATTTCTCACCCAGCCCACTTACATTGTAAAGTAGCTAGAGATTCCAATTTATATACCCCCATTTGGGTGACTGATTAAGTATCATTTATGGACATGAATGACACATCAGCACTATCTTTAATTTAAAAAAAAAGAAACTTGTATCTGACAACAGCAAATAAATATGGGTGACATCACCTGAAAAATATGTGTGGGGCATAATGATGACAAGCTGGGTTTCGAAGAGGTAGAGGAACTAGAGATCAAATTGCCAACATTCACTGGATTATGGAGAAAGCAAGAGAGTACCAGAAAAACATCTACTTCTGCTTCATTGACTATGCTAAAGCTTTTGACTGTGTGGATCACAACAAACTATGGCAGGTCCTTAAAGAGATGGGAGTACCAGACCACCTCACATGTCTCTTGAGAAACCTGTATAAGGGCCAAGAAGCGACAGTTAGAACCGGATATGGAACAACTGATTGGTTCAGCATAGGAAAAGGAGTACGACAAGGATGTATATTGTCGCCTTGCTTATTTAATATATATGCAGAGTACATCATGCGAAATGCTGGCCTGGATGAATCACAAGCGGGAATTAAGATTGCTGGGGAAAAGATCAACAACCTCAGATATGCAGACGATACCACTCTAATGGCAGAAAGTGAAGAGGACCTAAAGAGCCTCTTGCTCAGGGTAAAAGAGGAGAGCGCAAAAGTGGGCTTGAAGCTCAACATCAAAAAAACTAAGATCATGGCATCCGGCCCCATCACTCCTTGGCAAATAGAAGGGGAAGTCGTGGAAGTAGTGACAGACTTCACGTTCCTGGGATCCCAGATCACCGCAGACTGTGACAGCAGCCATGAAATTAAAAGATTTCCTTGGGAGGAAAGTGATGGCGAACCTAAACAGCATGATAAAAAGTAGAGACATCACCCTGCCAACAAAAGTCCGCATGGTCAAAGCAATGGTATTCCCAGTAGTCATGTATGGCTGTGAGAGTTGGACTATAAGGAAGGCCGAGCGCCGAAGAATAGATTCTTTTGAACTATGGTGCTGGAGGAGACTCTTGAGAGTCCCTTGGACTGCAAGAAGAACAAATCAGTCAATCCTCAAAGAAATCAACCCTGACTGTTCCCTGGAAGGCCAGATAATGAAACTGAAGCTCAAATACTTTGGCCACCAAATGAGAAGGGAGCACTCACTGGAAAAGACCCTGATGCTGGGAAAGATTGAAGGTCAAAGAAGACGGGGACGGCAAAGGATGAGATGGTTGGACAGTGTCATCGACGCAACGAACATGAAATTGAGCCAACTTTAGAGGACAGCGGAAGACAGGAGGGCCTGGCGGGAGCTGGTCCATGGGGTCGTGAAGAGTCGGACTCGACTGTGCGACTGAACAACAAATAATGATGACTGGGTATGTGCTAGGAGCATCACTGAAAGAGATGTGCACATTTTGTGTTTGAGTCATGTGATTATCCCACAGGAACATCTAAACATATTTATTTATTTAGCTCTTTATAACACCTCCTAGAACTTTATAACACCTCCTAGAACTTTATAACACCTCCTAGAACTAACACCAAAAAATGATGTCCTCATCATCATAGGGGACTGGAATGCTAAAGTAGGAAGTCAAAAGGTAACTGGAATAACAGACAAGTTTGGCCTTGGAAAGCAAAATGAAGCAGGGCAAAGGTTAACAGAGTTTTGTCAAGAGAACACACTGGTCATAGCGAACACCCTTTTCCAACAACCTAAGAGGCGACTCTACACATGGACATCACCGGATGGGCAACACCGAAATCAGATTGATTATATAATTTGCAGTCAAAGATGGAGAAGCTCTATCCAGTCAGTAAAAACAAGACCTGGAGCTGACTGTGGTTCAGATCATGAGCTACTCATTGCAAAATTCAGACTTAAACTGAAGAAAATCGGGAAAACCATGAGGCCATTCAGGTTTGACCTAGATCACATCCCTGATGAATATACAGTAGAGGTGAAGAATAGATTCAAGGGTCTGGATTTGATAGATAGAGTGC